TTGGAGAGATTTTCACTGTAGGGCACGTGTGCTCGCCAGACAGACAGAGAGATAGAGACAGAAAGCAAGAAATCACCCTCCAGGGGAGATGGTCACGCTGCAATCCCTTCTCCTCCATTCTCCTCTCGGGTTCTTGGGCATGCACGCACACGCGCCCAGCGTGAGTTTTAAGCCACCGGGTCCAGGACACGAACCACGGTCGACTACGTGGGAGTCCAGCGACATAGTCATTACGCTAACTGCTGGTTCCCAGAACGGTCTTGATGAAAGAAAAATATATGATTTTTAATTAAAAGTATATAATGTCTAAATATAAATAAACCAGAAAACATCTTTTAATACCTAAGTATATTCCCTCTTTTAATGCTAATTATAGAAACATCCTTATAAACTAGAATTTTGACACACACACAAAAAAATCACACAAAAAATGTTGGCAAGGCCCTGACTGTGATCTGTCTTTGGCCAAACAGAGGGGAATAGAGCCAAATGGAAAAATAAAGCTAAATAGAAACATCTGGAAGGAAACATCTCTTTGCCAAGGACTAGTCTCTTCAGAAAAAACCTACATCTTTCTGGAGCTGCGCACTGTACCAGGCCTCGGGCTTTGTTGGGGTGAGCCACAGGTCCAGGGCCAACTGTAGGACCTTTCGCTCCAGCAAGGCAAGGCCACTAGCTGTTGCAGGTCTGCAGGCATGGCGGGCTTCTCGAAGGAGGTGCTCAAGGGCTTTGGGGATGAGTGCTGCCTGTCCGAGGGAAGGGTGGAACTCCAGCAGATAAATGTTCTTCAAAGCTGGACTTGAAGAAGAGGACAAATGAATGACAATGTTATTCAGGGAAGAACCTTACCTGTTTCCAAAGATATTTGACTTTTATTTCTTTAAGGACCAAAACAGCTCCTACAGGGCCAAGTTGAGACAACTAGAACCGCAGAGGTAGCTGAGGGAAACTACGAGTTAGAGAACACACTCTATTGTTCACATTGAACTACCGACGATTTAGGTGTATATTCGAAAAGCCCAATACGAATGTAATTATACATTATAGTCTGGATACAACAAGACTTGATATTTCAGTGATCAGTGTTTAATCAAATAGCTGAACATGACTAAGTAGGGTTAGACCCATAGCCTAGTGGTTAAGGGAATTAGATTCCACATAACCAGCCTAGGTTCTAATCCTGGCCCCTGTGCCTTGAAAAACACTTTGGGCCTCTGTGTGCGTATACCCCAAATCCTGACAGGCTGGAGGAGAAGGCGTTGTGAAGAGACCCTGTGCCATGGTAGGGGGAGTGGTGCTTTCTCTCTCTCTGGTGAGTGTGTGTGCCCTCTGGAAATGAAAAGAAAGTGACTAAATGAAAAGACAATCATATCCATGATTATTAGTTTTTATTTTTCATCTGTACCTCTGTCCCCTTTGTCCAAAAATGTTAGTAGACAAAGAATTTTTAAATTATATACACAACTATACACAATAGAATGCTCTGTAAATTATTCCTTTGGCCATAAAAGGTACAGTACGAGTCAATTGTCCTTCTATACCTACGTAGAACTGAAGAACGTATTTCCCTTTAAATCTATGCAAATGGGGTTCTTCTTAGTCTTGAATCGTTAAAAACACAGCCCAAAGTCTGGAAAGGAATCTCATCAAGCAAATGATACTTGCTTTTGAGACTACTCTAACAGGTTTCAGTATCCATACAGCCCCGGCCCATTCTGCCAAAAACCACTTCCTGCACTCACAGTGATTCCTGCCATCACGACTCCACACACAGCTGCCGTCTCAGGCCCATTACCGTGAAGAAATCAGTCCTGGGAAAACTAGAGAGAAAATTCAGAGTTTTGTGTCTGGAGCTTACAGGGCTCTCTCTCTCTTTTTAATAAGAAGAGTATTTTTTTATAGTTATTTAATTTAATTTTATTTTAATTTGACCAGAGAGGCACAGAAAGAGAGAGAGTGAGAGAGATGGAAAGTGAGAAAGCAAGCCACCAGGTCCAGGACTCAAACTGATCAGCCATGTGAGATTCCAGTGCCCTTAGTCACCACACCACCACCTCTCCTTTTTTCTAAAATTATTTTATTTATTTAATTTTATTTGTTATAACTATTTTTAAAATTTGATCATAAAGAGACAGACAGAGAGAAAGGGAAAGCGAAAAAGCAAGTCACCAGGTCTGGGACTCAAACTATAGTCAGCCAAGTGGGAGTCCAGCACCTTAACCACCATGCCACTTGGGCTCTTTCTTAAGAAACAGGGATAGACTCTTGGCTGTCAGCTCCCCGGCACCCTGCCTATCCCCATGATGAGAACATAACCCATGACAGCATCTCTGGGGTAAAGTCTCCCTTGCCGCTGGCTTGCACACCTATCAGGGGCAAGGGCCATGCCTGTGTTGTTCACATCTGTGTCCCTAGCTCCTACAGAACTGCCTGGAACATGTATGTGCTCAATACATATTTGTTGGATGTTGAGAGAAGCTAGCCAACATTACTGCCTACGTGGAAGCCACAGACAGATTGTGATCTTGAGTGACACTAATCAGCCTGAGGGTTGTCACCTGCTTCTTGGTTCCCGCTAACTGTGAAGGTGGGAAGGAAATGGGTCAGGGGTCATGCTACGTGTCAAGGGGGAGGGGCTTAAAGTAATCTTCTCTCTGAGTGGTCTCAGGAAATTCAACACTGCCCCTTAAAAGAGTGGTGTCATCAGGCAAGTCTGCAGAAATCTCTAGTGACAGTGGCTAGGTTTTGGCCATAGGGCTCATATGCTTGCTGGAGAGAGACAGTAGAGAGAAAGTGAGAAATCACTCCCCAGGGGAAATGGCTGTGCTGCAATCCCTCCCCCTCCATTCTCCTCCTGGGATTTTGGGTACACACACAAGCGCCCAGTGTGATTTTTCAAGTTACTGGGTCCAGGACTTGAACTGTGGTCGACCATGTGTGAGTCTAGCACATTAACCACTATGCCACCTCCTGGTCCTCCAAAATTTCCTTTCTGGGAAAATCTGAAGCACACCCAAGTTTCACATATGTGGACTGGTAAGACATTTCTGATTAAATCTTCTGAGAACATTTCAAGAGCCTTTTTTGTTTTTGTACTCCTCAAGGAATGACTTTTTTTTTTTTTTTTAAACAGGGGATCATAATCCCTTCTCCTCCATTCTCTTAGAATGGAAGACATGTAAATATGTTCAGTGTGAGTTTCTTTTTTCTTTTCTTTTTTTTTAGAGAGATTTTTGTTATAGGACACATGGACACATGTGTTTGTCAGAGAGACAGAGAGGGACAGAAAGTGAGAAATCACTCCCCAGGAGGGATAGCCACGCTGCAACCCCTTCTCCTCCATTCTCTTCTTGGGTTTTTGGACACACAAGCACATGCACCCGATGTGTTTCAAGCTGCTGGGTCCAGGACTTGAACCACAGTAAACTACAGGAGAGTCCAGTGACATAATCATTACCTCATGTGCTGGTCCCAAGGAATGACTATTCTGCGCCCAGTCATATAAGTTTAAATTCTAACCTGCTATTTTTTTCTTATTTATAAAATAAATAGATTTTCAATATACAAGGGAATCCCTCTTCTGTGTCTTTTATACCAACTTCTCTCACCTCCCCAAATACCTAAAAGTTGCTTTATAGAGCAGTAGTTAGATTTAACACTATACCCTTGACTAATCTAGAAAAGTAAATATAAAATGCCTAAAGTCAATACCAACTTACCAGCTATTGTTGATGGAAATAAGTTGTTTGCAAATGACATTAAGGGGAAGCCCGAATTTATTCCTAACGTCTAGATGATCATCTCGCCAAAGCCTCTGGACATACTCCCGCTGCTGCTCTATCTAAAAATGTAGCATAAACACTAAAATTAGAGAAGATAAACTTTGCCATGGATGTGACTTATGAGCCTCGACAGGGGAAGGCTCACATCCCTTTGTGTCTTCATCATTTGACCAGTGTTCACCCAGACATTGTTTTGAAGAATCATTTGGGATGAGACATGCTGGGCTCTCAGTCTGAGCTCAGGGTCAGCCAAGGAAAGCAAAAGCCATCAGCTTCAGACAAATTTAAGGGGAAAAAGAGACAAATTTGAGGGGAAAAGAAGGCTCTGTAAGTCACTACATGGGCAAAATTCCAATCAGGTAGCAGCAATCCTTTGTCTCCTACTTGCTTCGTGTCATAAGGTTTGTATGATGTGATTGTGTCTTTTGGTGTCCCGAAAAGTAATCACAGCTTTTAGAATAAACACTACTTTGTACATGAATGTCTTGAAAAGATGTATCACCAGTTCTTCTATTACTGATAAACTCTACAATCTAATAAAAACTGAGGTCATCAGTTCCTTGTGGACAATTACTGTAATTAGGGTCAGAAACCCCGATAAGAACATAGTTATGCTTGGAATTCAACAAGGCAAATAAGCTTACAAATGAACACGCTGTACCTGCCCTAGAAAACCCATGCTCTGGACCTCCTCTGAAAGGAAAACACTATTCCCATTTCTTGTCCCTGTCTTCCATTGTCTTCTCACATGCGGTATTTCACCTTTTCCTTTATTTTGTTTGTTTTTCACATGCTACCTTTGAAAACCCGGCTCTACTCACATGCTGGTTGAGGATGCCTCGCACCAGCTGCAGGTGAATTCTCAAGCAGGTGCATTCATCTTGGTAGGCCTTAATGAAGTAAGGGTGGTCTAGATCAAACCTCGGGGTCCGGTGCATGATATCAGTCATCACTTGCCCTAAGGCAAACCTCTCCTCAGGGTCCAGGGTGTGCTGGTAGGCTTCAAAGTAACTATCAAGAAGCTGGGGGGAGAAAAGATTGATAGTAACAGCAGAAGCAGGCCTATGGCCCATCAGAGACTGGAGGTCAGACCTCATGCTTTGGATCCCCATGGGCGTCAGCAGGACACACACAATTCTGAACCTCTGAGGAGAGGCCCTGGTGCAGGGGGCTTAGGACTCAAATTGTGGTCAACCACATGGGAGTCCAGCCCCTTAACCACTGTACTACCTGCTGGACCTCATCTAATGTACTAAAATATTTTTAAGTGCTCGGTTACAAGTTTTACATTTGAGGTCAGATAATTAAAGATTAATTGACATCTCTTTTGTATTTTCTTATTTTTGGAGTCGGTTTTTTCTTTTCTTCCACATCTCACACATTGATCATCTGTGAGATGCACTATATGCCCAAGCGCCTGGTCTATATTGCTTGGTGGATAAGTCAGTGTCCCTGGGAGCCTCTGAACATTCATCCCTACCAGTCTCATAACTGAATCCTTTCTCCCACTGCAGAGCCAACCCAACACATGCTTCTGCCAAGTTTTTCTCAAGATGTCTTTCTTCAAATAGTCTTCTCCGACAACGTCCCCCTCCTAAGGTTTCTCTCTTACCCTGGAAGGCCTAGTGGGTGACAGTATTTAACGGTCAGTGAGTGAGGAGTGAATTGCTGAGCTTGTGATTTCCAACCTGACAGCCAAGGATAGTTTGCAATGCATTAGAAAAAGCCTGGTATTATTTCCTAGGGTGATGGTCTTCTCGGTTGCTCAAGGCCAGGAAGTTTGGTCTCTTAACAAACTAAGGAATTTCCTAAAAGGACATAAAGAGCTCCCCGCCTCCAGGGCTCAGCTGGAGGTATGGTGGTGAAGGCGCTGGACTCCCACGGTTGACTGTGGTTTGAGTCTCCGGCCTGGTGGCTTACTTCCTCATTTTCCCTCAGTCTCTCTCTCATCAGATTAAAAATAATAAAGGACCAGCAGATAGTATAATGGTTACATTGCTGGACTCCCACGTGGCTGACTATGATTTGAGTCCCAGACTTGGAGATGTGAAAATCACGCCAGCTGCATATGTGTACGTGCCCAAAATCCTGAGAAGAGACTGGAGAAGAATTTGCAGTGTAGTCATCCCCCTGGGGTGTGATTTCTCGCTTTCTATTTCTCTGTCTCTTTCTGTATCTCTTGTGAGTGCATGTGCCCTAGTAAAAAAAAGAAAAAAAAAAGAAAAGAAAAAAAAAGAAAAACAAAACAAAAACCAAAAAACTCTCTTCAGGAAAAAAAAAAGGAAATAATTAATTAATTAAATAAATTTAATGAATAATTCAAGAAAGAAAGAGAAAGCCCCTCTCATATGAAAAGTCCATGGCTAAGAAAGCAAAGCCAGGAAGGACCGGGAAAGTGCAGGTATGACTTGAACATGGTGGCAGCACACAGAAGGCAAAGAAGAGTGACAGAACCAAGTGTCAGAAAAAGAAAGGAAATGAGGATGTGGACAGACCAAAGGAATACCAGTGTTTTGGAACCCGAAACACTACTGCAGCAGACTGCATTGATCAGGGCCTGCAACAGGCAGGGTACCAATGCCAATGCCATCAGAATGAGCAGTTTTTAACCTATGTTGTGCCAAATGTCCTTAAACAGCCAAATGATGCCTAGAAACCCTTTTTAGAATAATATCTTTGGGGTCAGCAGGTGGTGTGGTGGTTAAAATATTGGACTCCCACATGGTTTGAGTGCCGGACCTGGCTGCTGGCTTTCTCGCTTTCTCTCTCTCTTGGGTGAGCACACGTGCCCTTTAGCAAATTAAAAAATCATCATCATCATCATTATAAATAAAATTAAATAAATAATTCTTTTTAAAGAGCTTTTGTTTTTGTTTTTGTTTTTGCTGTAGGGCGCATGTGCTTGCCAGAAAGACAGAAAGAGACAAAGAAACAGAAAGTGAGAAATCACCCCCAGAGGCAATGGCCACGCCACAATCCCTTCTCCTCCATTCTCCTCCAGGATCTTGAGCACACACGCACATGCATCTGGTGTGAGTTTAAGCCACCAGGTCCAGGACTTGAACTGTGGTTGACTAAATGGGAGTCCAGCAACATAACCATTACGCCAACTGCTGGTCCCTAAATAAATCATTCTTAAAAAAAAAAAAAAAAAAAAAGAATAATGTCTTCACACCTCTAAAACAAATGATGTATGATTCTAAAGGAAATGGATTATATTGAAATTAGTTGTCAACATATAAACAAACTAAACTTTACAGTAACACATACACTTCATTGTTAATACAGTCAGTGCCGAGGACTAGCATAGAGCCTACCGACTCCTGAAAATTCTGAAGGAGCTCTATGTACCAGTGTTATTTAGAGCCATCTGCAATAATTTCAGTTTGATATAAAATATTTTAAATTGGCAGTTGGTAATAAAGTCCCAGATTCTCCAAATACTATCATTTTTTGTTCCCTATATTCATTTATGAAGAAAATGCTAGATTTCATTTAAAGTTAATAAAACTAAAGGTCCCTTTTTTTTTTCTCCTTCAGAATTCACAGATACATTGACGTCTGCCCTCAGATCCTGTGGGAGTCTGTAGACCTGTGGTTGAAGATCCCTGCTCTAGAGGGTATAGTGGGCAACTTGAACCTGGTACGAAACCTCGCCTTAACCAGTGCAGCTACAGTGGAACTAGAGGACGTAGCCCTTCCCTTTGAAGGGAATGTCATATAATTATGGTGGAAAAGACTCTTTTTCTTTCTGGATGTTGGTTCTGTAACTCTTCTCCCTCTCTGGGTTGAAGGTCAGGTGAGATCTGAGGTTCTTTCATTAGCCTTTAGGACAAACTCAGGAATGTTTAGATGTTGCCAATCACGGCTCCCAAGGTTCCCCAAAGAAGGGGATATGCATATGCCATCCCCAAATATGCCACTTTGGCATATAAATTTTATTTATTTATTTCAAAAGAGGGGTGAGAACCTTGACAGGGTCTTGCCACACCATGATCTTCACCACCTCCAAGCAAACTAAGATCATACGCAGGTATACCTGCTATGTTCAGGTCAACCCAAGATCTGAACTTGGGCCTCCCATATTGCTCCATTATTGCACAGTAGTGCCCTACCACTTGCACCACTATGGCTGGGTCTAAGGGTTATTTTGAGCTGAAAACAATTGAAAATAGCTGGTGTGAGAAAGCTCTATGCCCTCTCCCATTCTGTCTAAAGCAGAGCAGAAATCTCCCTTTCTAAAGGTAGCATAAACTTTCATATGTGACGATGTCTCCATCTGCCATATCAAGAAGGGAAGAATGACTCTCAATTGTGGAACATGAGTCTTATCAATGGAGAAGGCACAAATCTGAGTACGCATAACGAAATTTGCCAAGTAATCCTTATCTTCCATCAGTGTCTCCATACACCCACCTTCCCACAGTTGACCCCTCCTACAAGGCCACTCTTCTCTCCTTCATCTAGGTCTCTCTCCACCATTTACTGCTTTTGTCCAGCAGCTGGGTCTAACAGCTTCTTTGGGTCTTTGCTTCTTTCCTATGAAGACCTTCATATGTATACATAATAAATGCTTTCTCCTGTTAATCTGTATTTTGCCAATTTAATTTTCAGATCCAGGCACTGAGTCTATGAGGGTATAAGAGAAAGTTTCTCATTCTCTACACAAGAGAGTTGAACACTTGAGATAAATAGCACACAAATACTGCTTAATAAATAGAGAATCTCAGTATAGCCATGTGGTGTGCACAGCTAAAACACTGTGTTCTGTAGGCCAGGGCCACATGGGAGGCCTGGATTTCATTCCTGGTCTGACCTAAAGACTGGTCATGGTGATATGTTGCTAAAAGCCCAGGGACTTCGGGAGGCTCGGGCAGGAGAATCATGAGCTAAAGGCTGACCTAAGCAAAATAGCAAGACTCGATCTTAAAAAAAAAAAAAAAAAAAAAAAGATTTGACTCTATCTTAAAAAAAGTAACTCAAGGAGGGACCAGCAGTTAGCGTAATGGCTGGACTCCCATGTAGTCAACCATGGTTTGAGTCCCTGCCCCAGTGGCTTTTAAACTCACGCTGGGCACGTGTGTGTGCGTGCCCAAGATCCCAAGAGGAGAATGGAGGAGAAGGGATTGCGGTGTGGCCATCCCCTCTGGGGGGTGATTTCTCGCTTTCTATCTCTCTGTCTCTCTCTGCCTGTCTGTTGAGCACACACGCCCTATAGCAAAAACCTCTCCAAAAAAAGAAAAAGAAAGAAAAAAATAAATAAATAACTTGTGCTCGCTTCGGCAGCACATATACTAAAATTGGAACGATACAGAGAAGATTAGCATGGCCCCTGCGCAAGGATGGCATGCAAATCCATGAAGCGTTCCATATTTTTTTACTGTTGGTCAGATTTTTTCATAGAAAGAAGTTGGTACAGACAGCAATCAGGTTGGTTTAAACAGAGCTGATTTTGTTTTAAACAAAATGAATAAAAAATGTATTTATTTAAAACAATAAAGGCATGAGAAACAATAAATAAATAAATAAATAAATAACTCAAGGAGACAGAGAGCCTGAGAATCTCTCTTTAGTATCCTGTTTCATGGGATGCCCTTTGGGAAACATTGATCTAAGGAACCTTGGATCAATCTTAATATGGAAACGAAAATGCCAAAGGAAGCTAAAATCTCAGGCCAGAGAAGGTGCTCCGCAGGCTAGAAAGTCACACTTCATGAGTGTGAATTGAAAAAACGGGGAGATCCCCTGTTTTGTTTTGTTTTGTTTGTTTGTTTTTGTTTTTGTTTTTGGTGTGTCTAGTGGGTTGGTGATGGATATGTTTATCTTGATTGTGGTGCTGGTTTCAGGGAGGCAGACATGTCAAAACTTCTCAACTGAGCCTTGGGGAAAATGAAGCAAGCAGGGTGATTGAAATGACCTTTTCCATCCTCTGAGCTCTACTCCAGAATAGCTTTCAATGATTGAATAGGAGAGAACACAGAGTGAAGGAGAGAGGACTATGGGGCAAGAAGGGTGTCACTCA